TACTAAACTAAAAATAGCCTAATGTCGAAGTCATAAAAGCCTTATTCCAAAAGCAATAATGATTGTGTACACTATACTTCTAGATAGAATAAGAAAATAAAGTAGTATGGGATCCTGGAAACGAACAGGGCTAGAATAAGCTATTCGGAGTAACACCGCATGCATACAAAGTATGCGTACAGAGACCTAAAATTTCCACGAAGTGAACAAAAATGGAAGCCCGAAAATAAATTAAAATAAATATACCTAAATAACGTCTCATTCTAACTCCCAGTCTTATGAAAAACAAATTCCACATTTAGATGGGTTCGAAATTCAAACAGATACCAACGAAAAGTAGCCGCGTGGCGAATTTGGATGTTAACAATTTTGTTTATACCATTTTGATACCAAAGGCCAAGCAATTTGTAATCTTATTCCGGCAGAATAAGGGCCTATATTTGAGTTTAACATGAAAATATATTTGTTTTTATTTAAATAAAAGATCAAGCAACTTTAAGTCTTGCTTCGGTGACATAGAGTTGTATTGCTAAATATCAATGATGAGCTTACTAATATGGATGCCACGCGACGAAGCGTCCCTCAATAGATAAATGATTTCGACAAATAATTACGTTATTTGATTTCCGATGGATGATGGTTGTTACGCAAACATCGGCTTGGATTAATTCGTGGGAGAGATTTTGTATTATTATTGAATCATTTGCTTTTCGTCTGCTGACGGTGCTCACAGTTGACATAACGTCAGTCCCGTCAATATATTTAAGCCGTCAGCATAACATAAGCTAACTAGATTTTAGGATGCTGGGTAACATGCGGATTTTCAATATGCTTTGCCACTAATGAAATTAAGGGGTTTTAGTGGTGGTCGTGCTGTTAAAATTGAGACCTTACAACTCATGTCTCAAGGTGGGTGGCGGCATTTACGTTGTAGATGTCTATAGACTTCAGTAACACCAGGTGTACTTTGTTTTTTTCTGAATTTTCTGTTCAATATTCTTTCGGCTTATTTTAACCTCAGTATTTTAATAAAGAAATGTGCTAGTATTTTTGATTATCTTCTTATAAAGAACAGATAGATCTGTCTGTCTTCTGTTTAAAATCTCGTTATAACTATATTTCCGTATTGATGTTTAATTCATACTAGATGATGACCGACCCTTGCTCGGTTTTAATTTGATAACGCCATTTTGTTGTGTCTTTAAAGCGGTTGTTGCCCTCAATTAAGAAAAATAGTATTATTATTCGCCAATAGATGTCGGGAAGAGTTGATTATTGAAAACACGAATAAAACAACATTTTCTGAAAAGAAATCGTAGCTAGATCGATTTATCGCCCCCGAAATCCCCTGTATACTAAATTTTATGAAAATCGTTGGAGCCGTTTCCGGGATTCAGATTATATATATATTAATATACAAGAATACAAGAATTGCTCGTTTAAAGGTATAAGATACAACATACGATGTGATATGGTAAATTGTAAAATATCAAATAATCTAGTAGACGAGCTTACGGCCTACCTGATGGTGAGTGGTTACCGTCACCCATGGACTTCAGCAATGCCAGGGGCATAGCCAAGCCGCTGCCTACCGTGAATTAAGTTGTGTGTCAGTTATTATGCCTACTATAATTATAATACCAGTGGTGTTCAAGATCGTTGATCGCACAGGCAGACTGGAGCTCTGGTACACTTAATTTAGAAGTAACGGACAACTTTGTTTACCTGGGCTCCAACATCAGCAACAATGGCTCTTGTGAACCGGAAATTCGTAGACGGATTGGGATGGCAAAAGGTGCCATGTCTCAGCTGGACAAAATATGGAAGGACAAAAATATCTCTATGAACACCAAGAGCAACCTAGTCCGCACACTAGTGTTTTCAATATTCATATACGGAGCAGAGACATGGACTATAAAGAAAGCTGACCGCAATCGGATTGATGCCTTCGAAATGTGGTGCTGGAGGAGGATGTTGGGTATTCCCTGGACCGCACGCCGCACCAATTTATCCATCCTAGCTCAGTTGAAGATCCGGACTAGACTCTCCACCATTTGCATGCGAAGGATTCTTGAATACTTTGGCCACATCGCAAGGAAAGACAGTGACAACTTAGAGAAATTGATGGTCACTGGAAAGGTCGAGGGCAAGCGACTAAGAGGCAGGAACCCGACCCGTTGGACGGACCAGATTCGTGCAGCCCTGGATACCACAGTGCACGATGCTCTGCACTCAGCTGCAGATAGGAACAGATGGCGGTGCACTATAAAAAACAATCTGTTTCAAGGCCATGACCACGACCCTCAGTAATGAGGAAACCGACGCAAGGAGGAGGAGGTGTTCAAGAGAAAACAATTGACGCAACTAATATTACCTAAGTATATTTAGTACACTTATCGAATATTGAACATGATAGAGAACTAGAAAATGTTTATGTACGAAGTAATAAGAATTCTTTGTACGCAACACGTGTTAATTTGAATACCACTACAGTTGTCCCCGGCTTGGACCCCCACATTCTCGCACTCGGATTGCGAGGACGGCTTTTAATTAAATTCTTTAGGTCGTATGGGACGTCCTTGCAATAGGGCTGTGGGTAATTGCTTATTACCAATATAATTATTTGTTGAATTTTCTTCGCTACATGAAATGAACGATAAAATGAACCAAGCGCTTGGTAAATGGGATTCAAAGGCGAGGGCAGATACGAAATTAACCACGCACTAACTGGTGGTAGGACGTTTTGTGAGCCCGCTCGGGTAGGTACCACTACCCTGCCTATTTCTGCCGTGAAGTAGTAATGCGTTTGGGTTTGAAGGGTGGGGCAACCGTTATAACTATACTGAGACCTTAGAACTCATATCTCAAGGTGGGCGGCGGCATTTACGTTGTAGATGAATAAGAGCTCCGGTAACTAATTAACACCAGGTGGGCCGTGAGCTCATCCACCCATCTAATATATAAAAAGACGTAGGATACTCCGACCTCGTATCTCAAAGTGGATGGCTTCCTTGATGTGGTAGGTTTAAAAAATGTGAACATACATATCTACAATCTTTCTCTACTCCGAAGTTAAGCTGCTTAAGATGCAGTTAGGGCTTTTGCACTGGGCTAATGTACTTGTACGATATATATAGCTCCAAGAAGCTGATTGCAGATTTGTATTTAAATTCATCTTCAACTTTAAGCCGCTTAGTGCTGAGTGAGGATCGGTCTCATTAATCTATCTCTACCTCTTACTGTCTTGGGCTGTACGCCTCGAGTTTTTATTCACAGCCCCGACGAAACGGTAGCAATGTCTCTTTTAGATTACAACATTACTAATGTACTTTATTAAGCCACATTGCAGTACGTTCACAGACTAATTTATCCTTAGAGGGAACAAAAGAGGAAAAACTCATAAAATCTAAAGTGACTAACTACGTGCGTTTGTTTCGCATTTAATTTGTATAAATAAAAAAGTGGGTATGCTACTTTCATGCACACATCTATGTATTACCCTTTTAAGCAGACAAGCACAACCTGATGGTGAGTGGTTACTGTGGATCATGGACGTCAGCAATGCCAAGAGCAAAGCCAAGCCGCTGCTTATCGGTAAGTAGTTTTCCCGAGCCTCGTTTGAAGAAGGACATTTCATAGCGCTCGGAAAGCACCGTGGAGGAGAGTTTATTACAAAAATGGATGGTACGAAGCAGAAAAGATCTTTGGAAATGGACAATGGATGAATATGATGGTTCTAGTTAGTATGGATGAGTCTGCGCCGGCGGCGAGGGTTTTTTTTTTCCTACCTAAGCTGATAGCCTTGAGAGGCTATTTCAGCGTAACCTTAGCTAGTAGGTGAGCTCACGGGGCTCAAACCGGAGTGATGCTAACACTGACCCTAGCAAGAGCAGTGCTTCTCAGAATCTACCACCGGATCGGAAACGCGATCCACTGAGAAGATCCGGCGAGAAACTCAGTGGGCTAGGCGAGGGATGGGGATTGCTGCGTGAAAGAAACAACAAACTATGAACCTTCGATTCGCATTTATATGTAAGTATCAAGTACATTTAATTATTACAGAAATGAAAAAAATGTATTGTATTTTTAAAAGTCATTTAATTTAGACTGTGAACTAGAATGCTTTACAAAAGTCACGCATCGATATTTTTATAAAAATTTACAACAATCGTCACTTATAAAATTTCATACGAACGCAATTTACTTATTTTAGTTCTATAAATTATTATATACATTTCAACAAGACGGTACTAAAATTTTAAAGTTCAATAAATTACATGCTATTCGTAATCAATGTTACAATTTAAAAAGTTTATTTTTAATTTCAATATACCTTAAGGTAAAATGTTTTTTTAATTTAAATTTCAGTATACCTAATTAAGCAGAGTATTTCGACGACCTCAACGTTAGGCCGAACGAAGTCGAAATATCAATTAACTTGTAACAATCTTACATAACCTGATCTCAATTAATTTTATCTTTCACTTCTGTTAAAAGCCAACACGGAGTTACATGAGACCACATACCACAGATCGACCGAATAATTACTAAGCAAAAAAACAAAATACCAATACCGCGAACTACTTACTCTCCATCTGCTATACTCGTTTGAGAGTTCTATTGGGAAAACATCATAATAATTATTAAGAAATGTCAAATTTGAAAACTGCTTTGTGAAACATCTTGTAAGAAAGATAATAGAACCTAGAAATAGTTGCAATGGTGCATTATTGTCCTTACACTCACAGTAAACATAAAAGAATCCCAAAAGAGACAGACGAATGTACAAAATAACCCAGGCTTTTCTTGATATCATAGTATAGAATTAATTTAATGAAGTAATTGAATATAAGCGCATGTATATCGCGCTAGTGTTCTTTAAAACCACAAACAAATAGACCTCTGAACATTGACAATTTAATAAACATACCATAAACCTAGTTGAGCTACTGTAGGATTTTGCTTCTGTAAACGAATTAATAAATTCGTATATCCTTAAACTAATGATAATGTGACAAATGCCGCGACTGAAAACCTTCATCACTGACAACGTCTATCTGTTCATTCTCACACGAAGACTCCTGGTTCTTGGAACAGGACTTAGAGCAGCAGCACTTTTTAACTTTCCCTTCGGCAGAAGACAACGGAGACTCTTCTTTCTTCAACTTCACTCTTCTATTCTGGAACCAAATTTTCACTTGTTTCTCAGAGAGCTTCAGTCGCGAGGCGATCTCTATTCTTCTCAATCTCGACAAATACATGTTCATTGAGAACTCTCTTTCTAATTCTAGAAGTTGAGTGCCGGTGAATGCGGTTCTGATGCGTTTACTGGAATCTTCTTTTAAAGGTAAACGTTTCAAGTCCTTTGAGTATCCCGGGAGAAGTTCTTCTGGATGAGCCAGCGGTGGACTGGGAGTTCCATTTCTGCTGTCGCTTGATAAAGAAGGTGATCTTTGACCTTGACTTTTAGATGGTGAAGTTGTTTTATATGGGTGATGCAAGTATGGCGATACAGACTTCTTCCTTCGATTCACGAAATTCACCGGCTCTTGATCCTCGGTTTTTAGAAAGCTATCAAAAGGCCTCGGCTCATTTTGGCTCTCCACTAATTCCGGTTGACGCGGCAGCTGATGGAGCATCGGATATCTGAAGTGCAGTTGCTCCAAAAACGGCCTGAACAGATCCGGTGACCTTTGATGTTGCAGACCGAAACTTAGAAGATTGTTCAAATTTCCCGGATATGGGTACGGCAAGAACTTGGGTCGTGGATCTAAGTGTGAGCCGATTAAACTTGTGTATGGATTGAAAGAGTCGCTGGCCATCTCAGATTTCTTTGAGTCCTTCGTGTCACTGATCAGAGTGTCGACTAAAAATGATCGAGACATTTTCGCGTGGCTACCACACAGACGTTGCATCCACAACTGATGGTGCAGGGTGAGTTTCGCCGAGGTAACAATTACAAAAACTACCCCCACTTAGTGCACCCCATTGTAAATAAACACAATAGGTCTCACTCGAAGCGTTTCGGCAATTATTTGGCCCGTCCCACCCTTTTGTCGGTGAGCCGTCAACCCCAGTTTTTGATGAAAAAAAAAACTTGTATTATCATGAAAGAAACGTTTTAGTAGCTATGAATAATTTTGTATGGGACGATAACATCCCTTATATTTGTCTCATTAAATCCAATTTGGTTGCTGTTTATGAAGTTGCATTGTTGTTAGTATTGTATCAGTTTTTATTCCAGGATGATGATTGCATACATACACGAAGGAAAGAATTTCAATAAGTTTATATGGTGTTCGTTGCTTTAATTCTGGACCTTTTCCAGAAATTGTAATTTAATAATGAAACAGTATTGATGTCTTACAAAAAAACTCAATCAAACCCAATAATCATTAATTGGTTACTTTTGAAACAAATTAGACTTAGAGTCACCAAAAAAAAAAACAACAATCGGAGATAATCAGATACAAATCTCATGATCGTTTAACCTATATCTAGAATCTACTACAAAATACTATACGAACCAGGGACAGATGAAGCAAAAATAAAACCTTCCTTTCGATTTTCGTTAAATAGTGACATTCGCTTTTCGCTATACAGAAATCATGGATTTACATAGTATTTACCAAAAGTATTTTTATAATTGTTCTAAAAAAAATGCATACTAACATGAACAGTAGGATACACCTAACCTAAATCTTCAATATCGATTAAGCCAAAACACATAATGAATTCGCAAAACAAGCATCAAAATCACAAAATCCACTCAAACAAGACCATATTAATTAAGTATGAATACCCTATAATACAGGCCTTATGGTGCACGCGTGATCCAAGAGCCGTTTTTAGGGTGGGTATCCATTAGCCCCGCCCTGCAAAATCACGTCCCCAAGAACGAGTTATCGAATATGAAAAGGGTCCAGTAACAATGTTTGGTAGCATTATAATTGTGAATCAATTCGCTTTATTATCCTGTCATATTTAATTTGAAAGACTCACAGGCTTTGGTGAGTGGCCCGTAGCCCCATTATCGGTAATGAGAGCAATAATGACGCACGGCTTTCGTCCGATTCCGTTGGAAGTGGTGTACGGCACGTTGAGGATATATAAATGTCTTGGATAAAGTAAATTTTTTTAATCCTAAAATTTACTGGTGGTAGGTCCTCTTGTGAGTCCGCACGGGTAGGTACCACCACCCTGCCTATTTCTGCCGTGAAGCAGTAATGCGTTTCGGTTTGAAGGGTGGGGCAGCCGTTGTAACTATACTTGAGATTTTAGAACTTATATCTCAAGCTGGGTGGCGCATTTACGTTATAGATGTCTATGGGCTCCAGTAACCACTTAACACTAGGTGGGCTGTGAGCTCGTCCACCAATCTAAGCCATAAATAAAATAAAAACCTTTTCTATTGACCACGAGGGGTCATACTAGATTCACCAAGCCAGTAGGTGAGCTCACGGGGCTTTAACATGGGGATTTATTTTTGATGTAACGACGGGTATAAGGGAAATTGCTTATGTTTTCCATATAATTCTTAGGTTCAGTGAAGATGCAGACTCGAAGCAAAATGAATAAAATACGTTTGGATTTGAGATTTCCATTTCCTAAATTACTGCTGCTAGACTCAATACTAAAACTAACTTTAGTTTGTAAATCAAAGAATGAACCAATAAGATGTTATAAAAAATAAATTTTAAGTCGACTTCAAAATCAAAGGAGGTTCTCAAATCGTTATTTAATACAAAAGTTTATTAGTTTTGCATAAGTACGCTGACGTTATCGCGGACTTTTCTCACTTGTGAAATTTAATTCCGAACAGGTGATAAAGTTACGACGACTTAAAAGCACTTCTAAGGACCAAATTGAATACAAAACTGTTGATTTGACAATAATTAAAATTACTGCAAATTTTTAACGCCGCAATCCTGCCAAGATGAAGAAGCAAGCAATGAGAAACACAATCTGAAACTTGTCCAAGTATTCAGTGTCAACATGTTTCAGTTGGAAATGAGCTGCGGTCTGTTTCAAGATTTAAATCTATTATTTTGTTTTGTAAAATTCCAAATAATCTATTAAAATTCCTCTTAAATTTATCCACATTAGGTAAGCGTAATGGCCTAATTTATCCACATTAGGTAAGCCCACAGATCATAGAAACACTGTGTTTCTCTGTGGGTAAGCCACATTAGTTATGTTATTCGTCACTCAGGAGCGGAGGTCCAATGCTCATTTGAAATGCGATTAGACACGGCCTTTTAGACTCTTCAAGAGTAGGGTTCAATATTATCATAAAATCCGAAATACATATAATTAATAACTCTTCTTCATCGTTCCCTCACTGCGGAGGATGGCGACCACGTGTGACGTTCTTCCACAGTGTTCGATCTTGGCTGGCATGGACCGCATGGTACAGACTACCACCAAGTGCTTCTCTTACTAGATGAGACCATCTGGCTGGTGTTCTGCCCACGGCGCGCTTACCCTCTATGCGACCCGAAATTATGAGCTTGTCTAATACATGTCTGGGAGGCCGCATGATGTGTCCGAAGAAGCTCATAACACGTTCCCAGCAGATGACAGAGAGCCGTTTTCGAATGTTTAGCTTCATTAATGAACAAATTTATATCTGAATAATTCCCGAATCCAATGGGGCATTGATATTTCAAAACAATAATCTAACGAGTTCTATTAACAAAGTTTTAATGTTAATAGTTAGTGCGTCATATTTTAGCGCTTTTCCAAGTGCCATTATCACGGGTAGACTGAAGACTGCAGATAAGATGATAGCAGACAAATTTGTCTACTAATTTTCTAGTCCGTGTTTTTAGCTCATATAACTTATAGACCCTTACTCCATCGTAACGGTGTCTTGGTTTTCTATATATTGTAGAACTTTAGAATCCCCACAAGTCGAACAAAAATAAAACTGATTAAAATATTGTAATATCCGATCCGGTCAAGACCAAAGTTGATGCAGTTGAGCAAAACCTCGAAAGAAGCGCAATATTTGAATGTAATTTTTTTATTAGATTTGAACCACAATCTTATTCTATTAAGATTGTTACATATGAATATTTGAGAAAGAGATAGACAGAATATACTTTATTGCTCACCAAAGTACAATTAACATTTGAAAACAGTCAATAAGCACATTTGTACAATTGCCCTTGTAAGCAGACGAGCATACGGCCCACCTGATGGTGAGTGGTTACCGTCGCCCATGGACTTCAGCAATGCCAGGGGCAGAGCCAAGCGGCTGCCTACCGAGCCGCTCTTATCGCTAAAAGCAATCGCTTCCAGACAACCGTTTAATTTACAGAATTGATTTATATTTGAATGGATTTATAATCACAATATCAAGGCTCGTGAAAATCTCAAAATAATGCCAAATAATTATACAAAATCTATTTACGATCCCTTAATTTCTTGTAGGTATCTTATTTAAAATCCTACATCATCTATGAAAATTTAATGATAAATAATGGACACATGCTAGACACGACACACTCGAATACCAAATATCTTTCACAAAGGTACTGACTCCGAGCGTAGAGACCGACTCGATAGTGGTCGAGAGTAATATTAAATTACCAACAGCGATAATACATATTTAATAGTGTGTGGTTTGTGTGAATTAATTCAGCCTATAACTAGAGTATTCCAATTGAGCACCTTATTCTAAGGGCCTATCTTATAATTCCTGAGAGAACAAAGACATCAAACAAAGACATGCCTAATTTCCAATTTCTGTTAGTATATCAGGCATCAGGCGATTTAAAACCAGTCAAAGCTGCTTATTCCCAGAATGAAGTACATATTATTGATAAAGATGCCAGAAATGAGTTTAGTTACAAACTACTAGTAGTTTATAAAGTAATATTTCGGATAAATTCGGTTTGACTATAATATTCTACTAAAATTGACCTAGTAATAAAACTAGAAGTTACTTGTTGGAAAAATCTGAAAACAATCCTGCTACAGACAAACTTGAGATCAGGGACAGAATAGGTGAAAATTTGTGTAAAAATAGACACGACCGAAGACGGATACATATTTCAACGTCTGACTCGTCTGCTAGGAAGTTTCTTTTTTTTTTATCATCCTTTGCCTTATAAATTATTCGATGAACAGAAGCTTTTTGATATCAGCCGATCTTTTTGCAAGAGAGAAAAATTGGCGTTCTTTTTTGTTGGCATTGTCAGCAAAATCTGACAGACCTGAATGTGATCACGAAACCGAACGAAAACAATGAATAGGATATAACAATATAAAAACAAACACAGCTCTGATACAAATATCTGATCAAAATGTTGAATATTTCGTAGAAAAAAATGTTTTATGTGCCAAAATATAAGGTTTGGATTGCTGTGAAAGTATTCCACCCTCGCAAATCACAAGAGATACCCGTAAAAGGGTTATTATCGAATGCATGAAGGTAATTGTGTTCATGTCAAAGTAACCCAGGTGATGTTCCAAAGCAATTATTCTTCAAAATCATCCAGTAATTTGTTAAATTGTATAATTATTTTTTGGGTTTTTTTTTATATTAGACGTCATCATCACTTTTAAAAATCTGCCTAATGTATTTTCCACTTTTCTAAAGACTAATTTTAGTTATTTTCCAAAAAAAAGGATCCATCATGTAAATCTGGTTTCGAACATCGATTTTTAATAAAATTTTGTCAACTTCTAACAAACAGCTAAGTCCGTGGAAAGCACAGAGAAAAAAAAAACATAAACAAAAACTTCTTTTGGATGTAAGTAACAACGTGCTACTTGGGAAAATAGCAAAACCTGACTTCGAAGTCAGAAGCAAATACATATTATGTATGTGTGAGATCACAATATTCCTTAATAATTTAGAAGCGCACATGAAAATTGTTTTATTATTAATTACGCTAAATTAATAAAA